TGAATAACATCGCTGAACAACTGTTCCTCATTAAGTTGAACGTCACTGTGCGTTCATTCACGTCTATTTGATGTTCTTGAAACTTTTCACCATCTCTTAAGACCAAGCTCAACTCGCTCAGTCAAAATTATTCCTACAATCAAATTAAAGCTATTTTCGGTTGCGGCTTTAATTGAATCTTCGTGATGGGTGCTACGTCAGAGTAGGCTCTTTCATGCTTTCAAAAATAATGTCCATTGATTTCGATAAATTTCATCACAATCGAAGGAGTAGTAGCAGTAGGTGTGTGAATAAGGCAAATTTGAGGATAAAGCATTGCCCACGATACAACAAAAACGTCAAACGCTCGATATTGTGTTTGTGGATAACTTCATCCCAAAGACGAGATCTATGGAAATCATAAGTTGTTGATTCGATCACGTCAGTCAGTGACGCCACTGTTTTACATTAAACCATTATCAGTGCTCATTTATCATCGTAACGCTAAATTTATTGCCTGCCTATAACACCTGTTTCGTATTATACTTCTTTTCATCTTCAGCAACATTCACATCCTTCAAATAAACTCAATCTTCATTGTCGAGAATCTCACTTCAATTTCGCCGAGATCCAACTTCATCTATTCAATCGATCAACCGAATTGCTCGCATAATTTACTCAGATTATTTATTGCCTTCGAATGATTTGTAAGCACACGTAAGCCATCATTCCACAGACGCTATACTTGATGAGTTGCAGCGAGTATCTACGGTTGAAGCATTGCAGTTCGAATTTGTACTTCAATTATATTCTGTTCGCAATGTTTCTTGTTTGTGTTATTCGTATAACATTTCCAATGTACAAAATTTTAAGGAAAAAGATTTGATTACTAAAAGTAACGCATCATTAGCGGACTCTGAGCGTTCGGAAACGAATTTCGCGTGCGAAAATTGAGAACTGTTGAAAGAAAAATGGATTCGCAGCGAGCTGATCCAATGTGCTGCTATAAACACGTGTCCATTGTGGTTGGTCTTTGCTTCGTTCGTAAAACCGTAAATTTACCGCAATTGCTGAACAAAAATATTTTATGACTTTAACTTTTTTGACCTGTGACAAAATTCACTGTCTTTCGTGGAAATAGATATTGGTGGGCATCAAAATTTTCCCAGCAAAATAACAGGATGTGTGTGAGAGAGAGAGAGATCAGCTCAGTTTTGACACTTCTAGAAATTGTGCGGATGGTTGTCGTTGGCTGACATAATCGTCCATCTGTTCACATCGGTTTATTTGACTGAATTAGCGCTCGATGAGTGCATATTCATACCGTTCGTTATATTCGCGTTGTTTATCGCGTTTCTTTCGGCACTTTACTACGTTGGTCTGCACAAAGACAATGATTGCTTGATGATACCGATGATAGTTGCTAAGGTTTTGTGTTCTTTGTTTTGCTTTCTATCTTATCGATTCGAATCTTCTCTTTTGCATTATGCTATCAATCATTGATGATGTTGTAACAAATTTTCTACTCCACTACTCTAGCTATGCCACGAATCCTTTGCTATAGTGGCTATAAAGGCAGAAGAACAAGTACAGCGCAAAAAAGTTCGCTACTTTTTTGGTAGCACAACATCAGTGAGCATAGTGTATTGTACATTAAGAGCACTAATGACAGTAAACACGAAATGCAAAGACTTTCATGTGATAGAATTAGATGGAACATGAATGTGATGTTATGAACATGTTGCAATTAAAAGCATCGTCAAATTAGTTGTATCGAAAAGCATCCAATTAAAAAGAGGGCATTCAGGTTCTATTCGTGCTGATGATCGGTTTATTCATGCTCTTCTCATGGATCGCTTTTTTGCTGTCGTTGTTCTCACTCGTTCAAGTGAAGAGTCCGATCGGTTTGCATTATTTACACTCTTTATTCGACCATTTGACTTTTGTAGAACGCTGAAAGTTGATCGAATGTGTTAGGATTAAGCTAAGCGAGTAGAATCAACCGATGAATTAGACAAACAAGAGTGATCATCAATGGTAATATATCGACACCATTCATATATTCTGCACAGAAAGAATCACTTGTAGAGATGTCGCAAGAAAGAAATTTTATCAGCATTCGCAGTGATACGTGTAGTTGTCAGTTGAGGTACTGATTGTGTCTGCGGTTGAAAATACTGAGAAAATGAACCACTTTGAAGGTTGAGTTGGAAAAGGCTCTTTCATTGATCCAACAATATTGTCGNGAAAGGTTACTTGCTCGACGTTTACAAACACAATTCAACTTCAATAGCCTCGCTCAGAAACGGAATGGCACCTAAAAAACCAAATTGTGATTTTTCCGGCATCGGTAAATTATTTGCGTTTCTTGATCATTATGTAATTGCGATGGAGAGAAAGACAAAGAACTCTAACGCTTTAATGTCTTTCAGTGGGAAAGTAATTATTTGAAAAATAAAAATTCGAAGCCTTTCAAATGCGATTCATTTCAGAATTAAATCTGTTTCATCGCAAAATTCGATACATTTCAGACTCGTTAACAACGTGTAATTTTCTTGTTGTGTTGAGTGTACTATCAACAGTAATATTCATTCTGATGCTGAAGATATTGTTTCTGTTGCACGACGCGTATCGTTTCATCAAGAAGCAGAACGATCATAAACGACTCAACGATAATTTCGTCACTTTTATGCATAACAACACGGCATTACGGCCAACGTTTGTTTAATTGTTTGCTCATTTTATATATTCCGTTACTATCAGCGACGAGGGTGAGAATGCGAGTAAAAATTTAGTTCCACTCATGATCCATGAGCATGATTAGCGATTGAGCAACTTCCAAAGCGTCGATGATAGACCATCAACAATCCAAAAATTCCTGCTGCATTCATAAACAATGAGCACCTTCTTTCGAACATCCCTCTTCACTGATTGTTACTCATGTTCATTACATGACATGCTGAATTCAAACCTGTACTGTACCTTCTCTGTTATAATGAATCCTGTAAGTTCTCTGATTTTTACCGAAACATCTATCGATCAGTGTTCAACTACGGGACGTCAAAAACTTTCAAAAAAATTGTTTTGTTCACGGAGACCGAGTTCTTCATTCAAGCTCTTGTACTCATCTAACAGGCCTGGCAAACCCAAAAGCGGTCACGATCCAAATTTTGGTGACATCATGGCCCAGATTACAAAACAATAATGCCTCAAAAGACTGAATTAAACACATTACAGAATTTCTTTCAAAATTTGTACTTTTTGAAAATACTCTGAGTTTTCTTGCAAATCAGTTTTTCTTTTCACTTTGGAAGTTTGTTTTGTTCTTATTGTTGGTTTATTGTTGATTGCAAATTTTAAAGATAAATGACGCGAATCGCACGAAAGGAAAAAGAACAACCACACTCGCTGCGGCGGCTCGGCAACCGCAAATTGTAAAAATTAACCAATCTCGGCGGACGGTTTCGACTGAATCCAAAAACTGCCGACACCGATAATTCCCTCTGGACTGATTGGATAACAACATCGATTACGACCTCTAACCGAATTGAAGTCCAAAATAAGAGCACAAACGAGGTCTTGTCAGCACCTCAAAAAATACACATCTACCGGCTATAATTGCTTCGCATTGCTGCACAGCGTCCAGTAAACACTTTCACAGGTGCGACCATTGCTAAACATGCGCCTAGTTGTCAGCCCTGTCAGGGAACGGGTGTCGGGATTTGGTTGGGATCTTTTTCCGTTCACGCGGTTCGTCGTCTTCAAACAACACAAAGAAAAGTGACAAAACGATCAAGCTGAGTTAAAAAGAATTTCCATAGTGCACTAAATCATAATTCCATCAGTTGTTGCAATGTTCATGCAATAGAAAAGAGCTATCATGATGTAAATCACATCTGCAGAAAGTGGAAGACAATTCTATCGCATATTCATGCAGAACCCGATAAACTAACTTACTTTTTGAGATCACTGAAATTTATAGCCTGCTGTTCGATCGCCTTCACCACTTTGAATTTCACACTGAACTCTACTCTCTCACTCAGTCAATGGAGATGAGGAGAGCTCATTAACAATAAGTACGGAACACAGTGGCGAACCAACTATAAAGTGCCATTTTTAAACGTAGATCACGAGCGTTTTCAATTTCTCACGAGTGGTTTGGGATATTTACAGGCCACAGACCGCACGTTAGCCAGGCCTGCCATCGAATGAGATATTGCTTTGTTATTGGTGATATTACCGCATAATGCGTTCTGCTTGTGGTTATTATTGTCAAATTTTGTTATTGTACAGTGTTTCCTTGTTTCCACTCAAACAGTTCAAGTGATCCTTATTGTTAGCGATTTTGAAGTAATTTTGAAGTTGCCTTGATTATGTTGAACGCAGTATAAAGTGTAATTAATGAATGATTTCACTGTGACTCCGCACTGCAATATGCAGAGCAAGATTAATTTCACTTTGTCAGCAACGAAGCGGACAGATGGCATGTGGAGAGATAATTTTATTCTGAGCAAGTACAATTCATTTGTGACAAGTGTAATATTGTAGAATATAGTAGCATTTTGTCTCTCGTTCATATTACTTTTTCGAGAGATAATTCAGTCTGCTTTGGAGGAGGCGGGTAAGGATGAACGAATCTGACGATAAGCGCGCACTTCATCTGAAGTAACTTGGCTTGAAGTCGTCATCAAGATTACCAATTCTGTTTTGCAGCTGACGTGCCTTCTGCGTCTGCTTTTCTTTCGCCACTTCATTAACTCTTCTCGCGACAGGGCATATTGGGCAGAACCAACAACTCAAAAATATCAATACTGAAAGAAACAAATTGATTTCCCTTCACAACGAAGTGCTTTCGCAACAAATTTCGTTTCCAGTCACGTCAGCAAATCACATCTGACCGATAATTTAAATACCCATGCATCAGTTGCCATGATGATTTCCCACTTTGATTTTGATTTAATTTTCAGTTGTTCCAGAATAAAGCTCACTCACCACATCACACTTCAGAGTTTATAAATTCCAAATGATACTGCAATAACTGATTTAAAAAAGTAAAATATCACTTACTAGTTGCGACAATAACTGCACCAGCATACATTGCATATATCAAACCGGTATGCAACGGATATTTGCAACAGGTTGGCATGGACCAGTCGTATCCGTACGTACAACAATACATAAACTCATCGGGATCTGTCTCTCTTGGGCAATACGCAGCAAAACCTAGAAAAGGAAGTAAGATTATCATCAGATGCTGATTACTCATACATATTTCCATAACACTGCAATCTTACCGTTTCCTCCCGGGCACCAGTAGATTCGACGTCCAGATAGCGTATCAGCTATATGTTCATCCATGCTATTCACTAGTGCTCTGTAGAAAAAAATCCGTTCCAAGCTTCCACTTTTAAGTATTCTTCTTGAGAACGCTTAAAAACTTTCCTGTAGTTCTGTTGTCTTAATGCTCAATACTCCGAATGAAAAGAGATGCCCATTCTATTTCCGCGCATTGCAACCTCAAATGGCAAACACGTCATCAATTATTCAATAAGCGAGTGAATTGTAAAAGAAACGCCATTTAAGAAATGAGTGGTAACAATCATGACAAAAACGATCTGAGATGATGATTGGAATTGTGAACGACTGTGATGTGCATGATAATTTCGAAGGAAACGCTTCCATTCAGCAGGCTGCTATCCATCGATATGGCGCAAGCATCGCATTGAGCAATGAACATACCACGAGCATAATGTCACAATATAATTCACTTTATTTATTCAAGAAATACTTCTCAATATCACACAGTTCTTCTCACTTTCCAGCAGCATTCGACATTCGGTGCTGTGATCGTCTCAGAATCTCGTCGCATCCATTTTCCTTTCCAGTGAATTTTTGTTCTTTTGCTTTCAGCGTACATATGCTTGGAAGTTTTTGAATAGCTCATTTAGCTGTTTTACATGGTGATATGTACAAGAATGCACGCACCAACCGTTCTTTTCATTGTCTTGAAGCCATATAATTTGATACTTGCAATCTGTTCGTTACCATAATTTGATCGAAACCTAATGATAATTTGGAGATTTTCTTATAGCATTGACACCCGGTAAAGTTCGTCAGTTTGGATGAGAATGAAATGACGATTTTGAGTCAATAAGATTAATTCATCATTTGACAGTTTCTGTTGTATTTGTTATTTCGAAACGGTCGTTCTTTCTAAGATGACAGATTCGTCGTTATAATAATTCGTCATAAAACTTTTATTCAGTTCGAAATTGATAAAAACTATGAAATCGAAATTCTCCTTCTGTTCGAAAATTGTTGATGATTCATAATCCTACATAATACAATCATATTGATAACTGTTCAATAAAAACATCGTAAAACTGTTGTTGTCAGAACGGTGAACAAACGTTTTTGGTGTGAAACATTCCAATTTGTTTTATCATAACAATTTATTCTGTCTTGAAGGAGAAAAGCGAAACTTCTATTTTTATTCTTCATAAAAGACACTTTCATATTCCATTCAGCTAGTATTCATATTATTGTTCATCTTCTTTTGGAAGGGATTTTTTCGAAAAAAANAAAAAAATCTTATTTTAACTAAAAGCCGTCAAAAATAAGAGAAACTAAACCAGATAAAGCAAAAGCTTTCTTTTGTTGGTAAAATTCCTGATCATTCATTCGATGGTTTCTCATAATGCCAATGGTTCATTCTTCGGTTTTACATTGAGGAATTCTTTCGCGGAAGGGAATTGTACCTAGTATATGTCAAAACTGACTAGGAGTAATGGGACTGACATTATAGCTGCCTCTTTGTCAGCATTCGTTGATACTGGTTATAAACCTTGTTACGAAATTGTATTCCATTATCTACTTTTTTACATGAAGCGTTTTCTTTTATATCTGCGCCGTAGCAAGCGTATTTCATTCAAATTCTGTTTTTGCATATCAGTGGCGGAAAATCATAGAAAACCGAGGGCTTTGAGTCGAATTAATTTCAGGCATAAACTGATACTTATTGTTAGACTGTGGCTTGCGCTCGGACTTAGTCCCACACACACACATGCTAATGTTCAAGCGCCAAACAATTATCCATTCAACAATATCCGGCGCTGTTTCAGTGCTAATGTATCGACGCCTCCCAAACGGTCCCTCATGAATCCGCGGTGGGCTTGATGAGGTATCAAATCAAAAATGCATGCGTTCATTTCTTTATTTGTTATTCCATACAGTCAAAAGAACCATTGATATTTTGCTGTGATATGAATAGCGATTGTTGTCGTCGTTTGCGATTTGCGATTACTCGCTTTGCGATTGGACATACGGAACAGAACCAACACCATAAGAATATTATTACTGAAAAAAAACCAATGATTGTTCAATGCCTCAACCTGAATTATCAATCACCTCCGAAACACATCCTTCTGATAGGCTAGGCCCGTATCTGCTTAACAGGGAAAACTTTCACTCCTACAAAATAAAACGAAATAATATCGCTCTCTGATATTGTTAACGCATAATTTGATCAAAACGTTCGAATGAATGGATGCTCATCGATTGGCTGTAGAACATCGATTCAGCTAGGTGATATTATTTGTTCCATTGCTGGTGGCGTAGGATTAATCTCATTGTCAGTGTTCACTCGAACTAGGGAGGTACATTTCCTTTCAGTCAAAGATAAGCGATCCCCACAGTGAGAGGTAAGAGATAAGCAAAATTTATTTTTATCTACTCAAATGCGAATCTATCAGAAAATGGTGACTTTGAGGTCAGTGTCACCTAGTGTAGTGACGATGGGCAAGAAAAAAAGTTGAGTACGTCGCGCTCACCTAGTGTAGCGACAACACCCGACAGAACGAGTGCAATAACGAGACCGGTTGAAAGTGCATACCGACAACAAGTTGGTCTGTCGAAAGCATACTGTGAGTATAGACAGCAATAATTGTAATCGTCAGGATCAGTTGGCTGAGGGCAGTACGGTAAATAGCCTTCAAAAGCACTCAATCAAATGGCATTAAAAAATTTACTGAGCATAAACTAGGAAACAAAATCTCGATTCATTAGTCCCAAGAACGACATCTGATGTGACATATTATTACATCTTGTGCCGGATTCAACTCAACAAGACCATTGCGCTCAACTATTTGAATGTTTTCTTTTAGCTTCTTTTCTTGAATCATTCGTAAGCATATCCAGGTTGTACCGTATCCAAGGGATGAATCACCGACAACGATCAACTGATTTCAAGCATGAATTGAAGCATATTCGGCAATAAGAAAACCTCTTAGAGGGTTGTGTTCATTGCACTTGCATAATTTAATTCAAGATGAATGATAGAAAGTCGTGCAAACAAAATCAGCGAACGCATCTGAAGAACAAATGCACTCGTCCTAAAATATCACCTCAACGCCAACCTTCTCCATCTGGACACCAAAATATTGACCTGCCACCAAGTGTTCCAGGTATGTGCTCCTCATTCATATTGGTAGTTGAAACTTTTGAGTGTAGATTAGGGCCTAAAAATATGATAAAAAAGACATACATATTATGGAATTACATATTATCTATTCAATCTGATCACTGAAAGTGGAAGAAGAAGAAAAGATGTGATAGTGAAATCAATGACCACGAATCGACCACTTATGAAAATATTTCGAAGCTACTCTCAAACTAATCATATTTACAGTATACTTTACATGACGGATGCATACAAAACTGAAAATCATCCGCTGAAAATGTATGCATCATCATCGTCGGCACAAGCATCAGATCGTACGTGTGAAATCAATAAATTTTACGACTCCCAAAACGGCAAGCATCGCACGGCCGTTAACAGACAGCAGCAGTTCAACGTACAGCACTAATAATATTCTTTTACCTTTCAAATGTTAACAAATTCGTTCTAAACGTAAGGAAAGACATTTGTCTTATGAAACTTCTTTACCTCCGAAAACATTCACCAAAAAGCTTCAAATTATGAAGAAAAAAGTTCGAATGCGACTTAAGCGTCTTAGAGAATCATTACCATGAAAAGACGTGAACTTTAAAACGCAGTGTTCAATTATTCCCATTAAAACATCAAATGCCAACATCCGATTCGAACATCTTTCGCCGTTGCTCTTATTGCTTTTCAATGTGAAAAATTAAAAGCTATGCATTGCACACCCAACGTACCTCAACGCAAAATAAATCAAGCGACTATGCCAAAATGTTACAAACTAACAAAATTGTTGAATGAAATGTGAATTCTAGTGTTTCATCTATAAATTTCCATCTACGTTAAAACAAATGTCCAAACATAAGTGTTGTATACGAGTGATAATACATCAACAAAGCCAAACGAAACAGCTAACGGTATGCGTGATGTTGCTGATCTAAAGAAAGGCGATATGTGGTGAAGAAATTCGATATATTTTTAATCTATTCAACTGCAGCTATCAGGAAGCATTTTTTAGAATCGTATCATTTTCATGATCTCAACTGGATCACAATAAACAATGCTCATTGCTGAATGCCATTTTCATCAGTTCATACCTCAAAAAAAATCATTGCCAGTTTATTAAAAACTATCTTTTCTATGTCAACGAGTTCAAAAGAAGTCCACTCCACTAACATGAATCCGCGATGAATATTTACCTAGTGGTTTTTTAGAAATCAAAACTCTCATTGGTAACCCCCTCGACGCAAAAGAAGCAGTCATAATCGTTACACCTTAAAGTGTATATAAACTCTTCCTTTTCGATACATTTACAAGATATCTGCATTATTTGTTCAAAAGCGATTTCAACAATTATCAAAAATCGTCTCTTTTGATGATTTTATGAGGAAAAGAAATTCTTTTCTATTATATTCGTTGAGACGAAGCGCGATGATAGCTCGATGCTGTTTCATTCAGATACAGATCATTAACACAGTCAGTACTGTTATGCATTTGTCAACTTATCAGTTAATATCAGTGGTATTGTTTGTACTATCAATTTGATGTATTGTTTGTTGATCTTTATGTTTCACCTACAGTACAGCCACGGCTGCACCTAAACGTACCTGCATTCTTGGTCAGCTTCAAAATTTTTCAAATTAATCATTGTATGCCATCAGCAGAAATAAAATCACTTTCTTTATTGTTTTTTTCCCAACAAAACAACTTGCTTTGTTGCAATACTCGAATAAATTCGAACAAATCAACAAGTAAAGCAAATGTCTAATGTTGACAGAAACTGTGACGGGGTTTATCGCAGATGGCTAGACCACCTCATGCCTAGTTCAATTGTTTGAAGAAGAACTGACAGAAATTCTCAGTTTTTGACGCTGACAGCTGAGAGGCAAACTGCACAGTTCGTGTACTTCCGAATTACATTCGAACTCCATGCAGATTTCATAAGGAAGCATCGACCAAAGACATCATCAAGAAAACACTTTAATTACTCTTTTTTGTGAACTGGTTGCAATTTCGTTCAACGTTTCAATTTTCATTTGTCAATCGGGAATTGAAAATAATTTACAGATAAGAAAAAAACCTAACCAATTGAATACGAGCTCTTAATGATAATATTAACAGCGTTATTACATGAGGTAGTAGTAACACAATGAATAATAATAGCAGTAATATGTGGAACTAAATCTCTCTATGAAGCTAGTCCAAATCATTTGATTCGCTAATCAGATACAGCGTTTACAGTGGAGAAAAATAATGCATAATATAATGCAGGTTGCAGACCAGATATGATTAAAGTTAGTGTTAAAACGACAACAAACGAGGGAGCCTAAATTTGGACAGCATATTGTGGTCGGCGTTATGATGGCTGAAGATTCCAGCGATTACGGTAACTAAGGTAATAATAAGGAGAATTTACTAACGAAGATTCATGAGAAGGAATTATTGAAATGAAGTAATTCTAATCTTGGTGCATGCTTATATGTGATCACAGGATGATTCATTTAGCTTCATCATAGCGAATATGTCAAAACTAAAATTTCAATTCAACCAAATTCATGTATCAAAGAGAATTTTAGAGGTCTGTCTTAATTTCACAAATTAGTGTTTCTAATGAGAAACCAGAGAAAATTAACAACTGCATGAGGAATCGTGTAATAAAAGGTACGTCTGTCAGCATTTCGACGATTTACGATCAATTTTCGCGATGTTGTACATGCTGTAAGTGAGATCGCCGGTCACTTCGCGTTCAATCTTCATGAAATCCGGTAACTCGGGTTCTGCGCTGTGTGCAGGTGCCGTCGTGTAAGTTTCGAGAATCATCAACAGTTTTCCATCACAAAACGGCGGCAACGGCGTTTTGTAGATATCAATGTGAAAGTACTGAAATATTGAGTGTTGATTGCTCAATAAGAAAGGATGTGATACATATAGAGTGCTGTATTTAAGATGAATAACTGGCGTTATTGCAGTTGTCATGCTTATGTACGATGAGTTCCTTGCGGCTTTGACACTTTGATCACAAATCTTTTCATATGGATCTATCCCGAAAAATGTTGTGATATCGCTGCCCACCCAGATATACCGAAATATACTGAATATTCGAATTACGCGTTCAGTAAAGATTCGTGGTCATTACAAATGCAACCTCTCTACTGCAGTGAATAATTTCACGAGAGTGAATGAACCTGCTTGTGGAACATGAAACATCGTCTCTCCTTGTGGATAGCAGCACGCGATCCATCTTCCATCTTCTTGTAGTTCGAATACTCTCGAGTTGTTAACTGCATTCGAGTTTCGACCGTTTCGGGTAGAGTGAAATGTCGTGTTGTGACCGAATAACTTGTGCGTCCATTCTGACTGCGAGATCGTAATCGAACCTGAAGTTGAGATTTATAGTTAATATGTGAGCATTCACATTTCTGAAACATTCAAATCTCAGAATGTTTATAAAAGAAACGTGTTCAGTTCGTTGTATCGAAGGACACATCACACAATCAAACGCTCATTTCTCAAAGGAGAATGTCTCATTAAAAATTATGTCTGTCAGTTCAGATGTCAAAAGCAGCGTTTGATAGCTATTCCAGCATTGCTTTAAACATTGAGTTCTCGTTGTGATATCAACGTATTTATTCAAAGATATACAGAACGTTCAAAGATTCTTTACTTACTTGAACTTTGGGATCCTCAGTGCAAAGATAGCGATGCCAAACATTGTATACTTCTGATCGAGGCATTTGAGATTCGTCTATCGAAGCAACCAGCCATTTTCGTTTTCTAAAACATTGCAGTCGTTACATTTGAATTTATCTTACGAAACAGATATGATTGCGGTTGTTAACACTAAGGTACAATAAATAAGTTCTTCGAGAAAATTTTTTGACAAGGACTTGTATTAGACCTGCTGTTGAACGCAAGACGATCCTGCGTGCACAAGCCCATACGATCGCAAACGGCCGCGATAACACGTATGATTTTATCTTCGAATGACTTGCAGCCAGTGTTATCAATGACATCAACGCGTGGATGTCCAAGCCATGCCTTCAATAGTAACATGTCCTTACTTTAACATATTCACTCACAACCAAATCCTCTTCAATTTCAATTCACAGATATCTTCAATATCGTTCGCATCAAAACACCACATTTAAGAGCCAATGAGATCCCATAGATGAAATGATCGGAGTCAACATTACATTTCGAGTCAATCGATCCTGTTCGAGTGCTTGAGCGACACCCTCAGATCGAATCGAATTATTGGCCAACGTGTAATAGTCAACCGCTCCGTCTGCAGCTGTTGTCAGGTGAATAATCTGTGAATGCGCATTAGTTAACGTAGCACGGGAAGTTCCATAGAGTGTTCCCTTTCAAATGCAACTGTTACAGTCGAAATGAATTTTTGAATATCATTTTCTTCAATTATCTTCGCTGAAATACGATTTCTTTCAACTTCACATAAACCATGAGGCTAGGAATAGTATCGCTGATTTTACTGTAAACACCCCCTGCCCGTCGTTTCAACATACCTGATCATATCTATCTTCTCTCAGACTGAACAGCTCCAAATCCGCTTCTTGAAGAAGTTTTTGCCATAACTGATTGTCGATGTAAGCCGATGGATCCATAGCACCACGATCACAGATAACTAACACATAATCTGCGGATGATAATTCCGCTTGGTTGAAGAAAACCTTCAAATAGGAGAAAATTCGAAAATCACAGTCATTTCATTACAGTTTATGGAAAAAATTGCATTCTTTTATTGCCAGTTTCAATCACAGATTAAAATAATTGCGCTTTGAACAAGTGAAGAAAATGTTCCCTTATGTACACAACACAGCGAATTCCTCAAGAAGGAACGCAGAATTTCACAGTTTCACGGTCTGGTTTATCTCTGTTTTTTTTATTCATTGGATAAATGGGATGAATACAAATATTTGTGGGTGATATCGGATAACTTATACATTCATCACACAGATTTTGAATCGTGTATTGAAAATTTGGTTTCAACTTTTAGTTCACTTAATATGAATTCAGAACATTTTTGTTTGTTGAATAGACTACCTTAATAAGAGTGATGAAGGTAGAAGGAGAAGAATGCATGGAAACTGTCAATCATAATTCAGTCAGTTACTACCGATTCGATACGGAGCATTGTTAGGAGGAGATCCTTCTGGAAGGCGTACGATTGCTCACCATTCAACTCACTGAACTTCACTCCACCGCCCAATAAAACAGTTGCCGTCTCAGGTATCGTGTAAACTTTCCAGCCGATACTCTCAAAAAATGTTCGCAACCGATCCTTAAAATTCACAAATTCAGTTTGAATGCCTTGCATTGTCGAGGACAATTATTGTGAGAAGAAAGAAATTCAGCGGATGTAAGATGTGATTGGATGCCATTACTGATGCCACTCGCACGGTTTACATGGTGACGAAACCAGTTTTCTGAGGTGAATGTTTTTCCTGTACGATAGATGCAATTTCATTGGTGCGTTAAAATGAAGTAAAAAAGAATGCAAAACAACACCAATTGCGAATGAANTGCCATTGGCATTTAATACAGAATCTGATTCGAAGTACTGTTCTCAAACCTGTCCTGTAGTTTTTCCTCCGCATGGTCCACCGGTGAGGACGACTTTGTAGATTCGCCGTTTTGGCGCTGAAGGATTGGGATCATCCATGCGAAATCTACCGTTTCGATTGAGCGCAGTTGCCGGACGACTTGCAATGATATCGGCTGCTGAACAAGCCAATGGCGTCAGATGCAAACAGGTTAAGGCCGATGCACTCTCCGATTCCGACGACTTATCCGGTTCTGAATAATGCAATTCATCGTTCAGCGTCAAGCTCCCTCATTTCTTCCGTTTCCTATTTGTGTGCTTAGATAACAGATTAATCGAACGCTTCTGTCGGGCGGCATAAGGATATAAATCTAATAATCACCACTACTGTTTTCAATAATCTTCACCTAACTAAGAAACAAACCAATAACTCTAAGTATGCTTAAAAAGCGATGAAAGTTTGCCTGAAGTGCCATAATTGTTAAATCGGCTACGATTAAAGGATGGAGCAAAAGTATCAGTGGGAAAATGTGGACGAAAATTTTGCACTTGATTGTTCTTTTGCAGATTTATCACTTATGTTAAATCGAATCACATTCACAATAAACCGTTGCAGTGATGATGAATTATGACTGAAGATCGTAGATCGTTTGTAGAAAAAAGAAACGGAACAAAAATCAAGAGGAGTGGAATCGTAAGCAGCGCTTACACATAATAAATTTTGAGATCTGGAACGGTTAACGTCTACTCGTTGATTCTTGTGCTTTTGCGATCGCTTAGTTGTGACATAAGCAAACACAAAAATAGAGTCATCTTGGCGATAAAGAGAAATAAAGAATATTTGAAGAGTGATGTGGCTAGATGAGAGGTGCATTCCGAGATAACATGCCATCAGTTTCTCATAGAGAGACAAATCAACCAATAAGTTGATAAATTAATGCAGCTGCTTGCCGCGTTGCTACTCGGCCGATATCCGTCTATTAATCCTCCTTATAGCGATATCGCTCGTTATACTACTCCAAGTATCCCTTATATAGGTGCGCTTCGAATGAATCGTGATAATGAATGAAGTGACTGAGTTTACTAATGAAACATGAATTGTCATTACTAAAGGAAATAATTGAAATCTCTAAAAGATGTCAACAACTAACAAAACGATTCGGATTACTGAAATCTGTGCTTATTGAAACGCAAAAGAAACTAGTGTGGTTAACTGTTCCTAACAGTTTACTGATTATTCAGGTTGTTGAATTCTTTAGAAACGTTCCACAGTTTATCGTAACGTGATCAGTAAGATCTCAAATGATCATTGCTATATTTTTCTAGCTGTTAGAATTGGGCTTGCGAATAGCATAAAGAGAAAAACGTAACTTCATGACATATAGTAAAAATTAGTCATGATAAAAAAGTGATAACTCATATCGCTTTATTTGATTTTGTTTGATAAAGTTTCCGAGCAGAAATAAGAGATCATTAAAGGGGCGACTAATGTTTGTGGATAGATAATGAACGAACCCATTTTCCTTGTGAATGCCACAACCACAATCCTGTCGTCCTTTCTTATTCCTTAACCTTCTTCTGTGGCAACCACTTCGAAGCGANTCTTCAAGACAAGTGATTCTTATCAATTGCAGAAAGCTGCTCTTATCAATGTTCAACAGAACGTCACCGCTTAACACCTAACTTCATAAGCATAAGTTATCTTCTCTTCCTAGCACCCGAATCATGAATGACTATAGATCATGCTAGGTAGGGTATTTACAGATCATTGAATTTCTTTCGTAGGCAGCAGTGCAGCCTAGGCGCAAAAGAAAAACGCAGTAAGAATTTTTCGGGCGAAGTGATCAGTTGTTGAACTGGAATCGAAAATCGATCGTATGATATCCATGTTCTTGTGCAAAGGTAAATCACTGAGTGGTGTTTTCATACCACTGAACGACAACGCAATGAGCGTAAATAAAAATAAAACATGCAGTGATCAGTAAAATCGCTTGAATGATGTTGTGATGCGAACGAGTCAATGCAGAAAACCACTCATAAGATTAGCACCTGATACGCCCACTGCGATGGCTTAAGGACGCAGTCGTCGCTTCAAGGCATTATTCCTTTGTTTTTTATTGCTCTCTCATCAGAAATGCTGTCGGCGTACTCTATCTGACTCAGTACCAACAAATGGAATGATCGCTTTTCTCTTAAGGTCAAGCTGGAAATCTGAAGGAATTCACTGCTAACGGCATTTACAGGATGTTTTATTCTCATCTCAGTTGATCGCGATCGCAAAGTCAATGATTTCCGTCATAAATCTCCATCGAAAACAACATTACGCAAGCGAAACAGCTCGGTGTCATTCATCAAATCACCTCGTGATCAATGCAACATGTGAGTTGTCAGCCGATAAAACATTTAACGTGTCCATAAAAATGTTCTGCATCGTAGACACAATTTGGTTGATTATAAGGTTCATAAATAATCATGATTGTTCACTGATCAAATTGCAGAGCCGACGACCTTACTGAATATTCGTGAATATAACGACAGGATTCTGATTGTTATGTGACATGAATGAAGCCACTTCTGAAGCGAATTGACAAATTGATCGAGTACCGCTCTGAAGTGGCATTCTTTAAAGGTGACAAAATTTAGCTGAAAATGAACTGAAGGATAGGAATCGCGACCCTAATCCAGAGTGTCGCTACATCGCAGTTTTTCTAACCATCTCGGATTCAGAGTTGAAATTATGAATGTCCTTATGGTTCAAATCATAACCTATGTTATCATGTTTATCAATGACAGCATGCCCTCAGAGAGCCATCGTTATCATGTTTATCAACAGCTTCCAAAAGACGTATCACCACAAAAACAATCCGGCCTCTCAGTAACTCTATTATCTCGTTCTCTCGAAGGCATAACACAAGTTTTTTGCTTTTCTTTACATAGGGGAATCGAAATGCTGTGCAAACATCAGTGACCATGAACAAAATTAAACAGATGTTAGATTTTATCATTTACTGTCGATAAGATGAAAAACCACAGAACCTTGCAACATTTCGAAACTATGGATTAGTTACAAATAACTACTGAGAAACCCCATCAACGGAATACACAAGTCAATAGAAAGCAACCTGAATGTTAAAAAAAACTCAGGGCAATATCACTGATAAGAATCAGAACAAAAACTTTAATCGCCAGTGATATTCACCCCAACAATATCGAAACAAACAAAAATTGCATCAACTCATATTTCATACATTGCGTTTCACTGAATCACCGAACAATTAAAATCGACAATATGTAACTTAATAAATCTGAACAATTAAAATCGACAATATGTAACTTAATAAATCAATCAAATCGTAATCATTATTAAAAAGAACAAATCAATTCATAATCGCAAATCACACAACCACATCGGCGTTATACGCAGAAGATTTCTTCGGCAGAAAATGCAACAAATCTTCGAGTAAACGATAAATAATGCTCGAATCAACAATGTGGTCGAAGGAGAAACACAAAAGACTTACTGAAAAGTTTTTACCAGATCTCTCAGTTGTTCTCTGCGTACGCCTTTGGATCACAAAATAAAATATTAATGACTACTATTCCAGCTTTTTTCATTTCTATCAGTAGTCATAACCGACCGAAATTTGGTCACTGTAATACGAACATTTTTGGCGTATACTTAAGTTTGACATTTTTGGAATTGTTAGATCGGATTTCGTCCAAACAAGTTTGAACAAAGTCGGGATATGCAATTTCGGAAACTCCAAATAGAGATTCAATTCTGAATTTCAGTCGGTACGCCGAATTTCGGAATCTTAATAAGTGTGTTAGGTCGGACCCCTCAGAGACCAAATTTCGTTCGGGTTACTATTTCTGAGCAAATAACATGACAGCTATCATCTTAAAACTTTAGTACTCAACATATTTACTCACATATGTATATATACATAATCAATGTACAGAAGATATGAAATAAATAAACCAACAATCCGTATAAGTTGGAATCTCAGTTCACTCTGAGGATTGTTACGGTTATGCTAAACTTTTCGGCGTCCATCGGGAACAGATTATACTCTTTTCAATTTTTCACGACATACCAACAACGACTTTTCGTCATCCGTTGCAAACTTTTTGGAATATTTAGCCACATACGAACACGTCGGTAAGACGCGAAGATTTTGGTCTTTTGCGTATTTGAATGCAGCTTGACAAAGCACTTTAGCGATACCTTTACCTCGGAGTATTGGAGGTACTTCGGTGTGATAGAGATCGAGGACATTGTTCGGAAGGCACCTATATTCAAGTATCGATCGTGAGCCATTCACTTTCACATAAAAAAACAACGCGTCAGCAGCATGCTCCACTGTGTAACCTATTGCTCTCGATGACATTCTCACACTGAAATTGAATTTAAGTCTATCAACCAGATGAAATTATCAACCTTCAGACACTTTTCATAGCATTATATAGGGATCATTAAGGAGCACAACGACAAAGCGATTAATTGAGAAATTAATAGATGAACGGACTATTGGAATGCTTCTTGAAGAAGTGAAACTGATCAGAATACATGGCTGAATGTAGTGTGAAAGCCAACCTCATAAATGGACGCACTCTCAGCTGTCGATTGTCAACAACTTATAAGCACACTTTGATTTTTCAAAAATTGTAATCGCCGATGTAAGCTAAAATACGAACAACTTCACCAATGAAATGAACAAAACGCGCAGCTATGTCAACGACGAGACATAACCCCGTCACTCAAATTAACAACGTCATAACATGGTACACCTCGAATGATGGTCTGTACTAGATGTATGCAACTAGCATTCTACTACAACCGAACTCAAGTAGAGTTCGTGGACGTGTGCACATCAAAATGAAATTCAATATGTTGCAAACAAAAATGCACATAGACCGACCGCCGAGGTCTTGCAACAACAACTGCAATGAACACTTCATTTAAAGGAACGCTGCAGCAACAAATTTTAACAGATCAAACGTCCATCGATGATGCAAACTGCACAGCAAATGACGTGCTGTGAATAACTAACTCATTGTTGTTCTTACCACATGTTCATCAATGACTTACTATATGATCAACACAGCGTCAGTTGCACCAAACGCAAACCGTCGCACTCTTGCTGCGTCATATCATTTAGCAGCGATTCAATATTAATTTGTTTGCACGTGGTCAACTTCCAAAATATTGAAACGGCTTAATTATGCAAAAAATACGAGTCCAACAAACGGAATTTTAAAGCAATTGAAACGTGAAATTGCGAAATTCTGACTGTTGCATTCAACATCGTTAGGAAAATTGAACTACTTTGTAAAATCTGGTAATTAGGATATGAACATTCATTAAATTCATTAAGCACAAAAGAGAAACTATTATGCAGAATATTAAACGAACAATCATTTTACTGAATTCGTTATATTGAGAGGCGACAAAAATATGACAGTTGCATACAGTGATCTCATTGGTAATCGGCGTCGAGTGTAATAACACAAATATATTCAATAATTGATGATCCACGGCAATGAACTCGTCCGATGTGAAACGAACACATCGAGAAAAAGTAAAATCGCAGATCGTTGTTCAATGATACATTTTAATGGATTCGTAATTTGAGCATTGCATGTACATAACATTTCTATTCGTCGATGTACACAACATATTCTATGATCATTTAGCACGCCATAAAAATCAGCCGATATGATAAAAACGCCATCAATGTGGATGCCTAGATTGACAGAAATATATTTGCGTAAACAAAGACATAAATCAACGAGCAAAACAAATGTTTCCAAATAACCTGCGAACGCAAACAAATAAACGCGTAATGTACAGTTAAAACGTTGATGGCAAAGTGTCAACACACGGTGAACATATGAAATATGATGCGATCAAACAGTACATCATATCATTCATGAAATAACACATCAATGCAACAACGTGTTCGCGGGGAGATGCAAATGACGCGAACGACTGAATGCCTACGCATAATACGTTTCAACATAAATGTCTCGGTGGAGGAACTTCAGGAACTTTTTCGAGATCAAAACTGTCAGCTTCGAATTGCTCGAGATCATCTTTCGAAAGTGAATTTACATCCGAGTACCAATCATCGGGGATATAGATCACATTTTTCGGCGAACCATTACTAAAAAGAAAAACTTCATTCGAAGAATATTCACAAAAAAACAAAACTTGACGTTTCACACTAAATGTTCCACTAAGGGAAGAATGTTCCTCNCATTTGTTGGATTCGGGAGCAAGAAAATTTCTTGGGACTGAACAAGTTCATATCAATTCAGAGAGAATGATAAATAGACCAAAACATCAACTCAAAAATAACCTATCAATATTAGGATACCAAAATAAAAGGTACAACTAACCTTCGAGGAACGCTAGCAGGGACGGGTTTTTCTGCAGAGGAAATGCTTTTTGTAGAAGGTTTGAGAGAGTCGTGATGACTGCTACTTCTAAATACAAATGAGACATCAGTAAGCGAACTCTTACACGCTTCTTCAACACCCAACAATTCACACCACAACAAGATGAAGAAAATTTGACATTAACGATCTTATAATTCACGATACTTCAAGTATTCAATTATCTTTGAATTGAATGCAGAAATCATGACTGAAATCGAAATTTCTTATGACAATAACTTCCGACGACTGATCAATGAATAGGGACTTCTGAAAGTGTTTCAAAATTCAGACAGCGTCTTCCGATTGGAAAACCAACGTCCCTTTCATCAGAATCACTACCCTAAATATTACAAAATTTTATTCGTCACCAAACTAACAACACTATGTTTCCTTAAAAACTAACGAAATCACCACAGAAACATACAAGAATTCAATACGGTCACAACTTACAACTTTGATTTCGTCTCCGAATGCGACTCACAAGTAATGCCACTGTTCGCGTCCACCTCCAGTGACTTTTTTAGAGGCTGCTGCTTCCTCAGATGCGGTGCACGCCATGTTAATAATCTGATTAGAAAAGGACGTCAGAGATTCTCGATTTAATGACAGAAATCAAAAACTTAAAACGAACATTAATCCACTTCAAGAGTTGAACTGTAATAACCTTTTATCTGGATAGAACGACGGATGGAAAGCAGCAGAAGTTCCTTGATGAGAATCAATGTAGGCACTGCTGAAGTTCTCGTTCACCACACCCGAGTCAACATACCGCCGATTCTTGACAAAAACATGAGCAAATTCGTTTTTACGTACAACACGATCAGTAAATTAGACTACTCATAATCAAGTATAAGATAAATCAAAACACAGATCATTTACCGACTGTGAATACGCTGGAAAGGTTTCATGCTGATAGACGCTAGATATTGCATTATTATGGCGAATGTATGATTTTTGGCCCTGGTTTTGCGGATACCGAAATAACTGAAATTTGAAATGCTTCGATGGTACAAAGAAATTGAGTTGATGGGATGATGAGCACTGGTCTTATCGAACCTGGTTTCCATGAGAGGGATTCAAGCGTTTTTCATTCAGGTGTTTCTGGATACCCCACAAGATCATACATCACAATTCGTCGATTGAAAAATCTGTAGAAAATGCAAAAAAAAAGAATGGAATTATGTTACCTGTTGCTGGTGCTGCCAACTTAGTTCGGGCTTAATATATGATATGTCATGCGAAAAAGCACATCTGTCACCATTGCGACATACACCCATCGCAAAAAACTTGCATGGAATTGATGACGAGGGATGCATCTAGCTGATGGTGATATTCTATCCACTTTATAATGTAAAATTGAAACATTAAAATTGTTGACTGAACAATTCAAAAAGCAGGAACGACGGTAATTCGGCATAAATCACATTTTATAATAAATAGTAGTATCCTCCAGAACATATTGCGAGAATGAATGATAACAGTTGGACTAGTCGAATAACGGAATGGATTCCAAGAGGAATAGCTTGTCCCTAGGCAGACTGCATACAAGATAGGATGAACCATTCGTCAGAGTGTTCGGTCAGAAATGGAAAAGGTCTGCACAACATAGAACAACATGGAAATCGGTTGACCTGCATCGAGAAGACAGGTCGCAAGGTGATGAATAGTATCTTCCGAATGATGTCTAAGATCTCTATCAAATCAAAATATACTGCGTAATAACAAATAACAACAAAAATAAATACCAATATACGTCTTCAACGGTTAACATAAACAATCACGGCTATCATATATAACAAATGAATACGAGTAAGAGTCACATAATCAATAGAAACTGGATATCTCAAAAAACTGCAATTTCATGATGAATTATGGAAACTGAATATGACTTCAGCTTATCTAGATTATAATGGATTATAATGAGTATTAATGATCAGTGGATAATGATAATGATTAACTGAATGGATTACGATTATAGTATTATAATAACATTGGACGTTGCGAATAAGGAATCAAATTTATAACATACTACATACATTAACGTAATACAAACATAAACTGCAGGCTATAGCATACTACATACTACAAATAACATACTATTTGTTATGAATGAATGACAGAACTTTTATATTCTGTCGTTGATGACATACAATTTCAGCAACTTGATAGAGTTCAGATTGTTAAAATCAAGACGGCATCGTTGGTACATATTTTCAGAATAGATGAAGCCTAATCGAACATATCAAATTGTAAAAATGGGAACAAAATACGTATGTTTATCACCGTGTACATGCGACATTAGCAACTCGAATCGTACTTGATGATATTTTTTGATTTAATATACATGACGTTTGATGATTCTATTCGGTTTCTTTCACGGATTCGATCGGTTTACTATTCATCACGCTTGATTAGTGCAATACATTATTATTGTTATAACGTATGATTTGATCGCAAATTATAATTACCATACTTATATCATTATAACTTAATATCATAATTAAAACTATGATCAAGATCAGAATTATAATCAAACATCACGATGAAGCCTTAACGATCACCATTCAAACAAAAGAATATTATTCCTGAACAAATTGAAGCTGAATGATCTCCCATAGAGTGAGAAGCGAGCAGAGCAGGTGAAGGGTCCTAACATAAGTACGCCACAAAACGTTGTCATACAGATCTTCTCATCATATCATCGATCATACAGAAGACATGAAAACTTCTGGAATGGACGAATGAAACAAAAGAATGAAACAGTGAAAATGAATGGAATGATGATTTCAGGAAATGAATTCTAGATTTATGGAGTAAACGCTGCTACGTTTCGGTGTTCATCTATGTGAATCGATATTGCATAATTATCCCTCCTGATCCTCACAATTATCCTCACTATATAAAGCAAAATCCAATTGCAATTTTGGAATTGACGTAATGAGCGATATGAAAAGGGCTGTTGAACTACATGAAAAAAATCTTCATTTTTGTGATCTATAGGGTCGATCAATGAAAATCTAAAGAAAAGTTTCTAGGACAGACTACTAAAACTGCCTTCAACTGATTGGAAAGATATCTGTAACAAACTCTAAATATCTTCTTCGGAAGTAACCACAATTCTCCTTTATTGAAAATCTATTTTTAATATATACAACAAAAAACCCTTCCTCATACTTTCGTGTGCTTTGCAATGTTTATTCAAAATTCTACAATAATAAACATTTTATCGTGAATTTCTTGCGCTCATCAACGCAGCACTTAATTCTAACTATAAGAGCACAACTTTGATTGAGATATATATGAACTTGAACGCAACTGTTTCTGAGAAATACTTTACATAGGGTTCCCATTGAATTGCTCGATAAGTTGTGTATCATCCAGCATTCATGGTGCTTTGAACATCCTTCAACATCTCCATATAAGATTCATCTCATGTCGAGATGTTGAACGAACTCATAGAGATATTTTGAAAATGCACTGTGCTGTGGCAATCAGCAATTGCGTTGCTGTGGCACGATGTTTGGACGCACACTCTCCGATGGAAATTCAATTTCATTGCATCTTTAAGGTGAACGAAAAAGTATAGTGAAGTGTATCAAGAGAAATATGAATGAGAGTGAATGCATGATACGTTCGAAATGAATGAGAAAACTAACGTGACATCATGGCATTATCACGCGTTCAGCACGGTCAGAGTCGAGAGTGATAAGACATCGTGCGAATTTGACATAAGAGTGCGCGAGTGCACATGTGAAATGTGTAGAAGTATAGAGAATGGCTTCTCATGGAAATAGTCATTCGAACGGTATACGCCTTCTACATGCTTCTATACATGCCTCTATTGTAGTGATCTTCAGATGCTTTTCATGTCGAATACCTATGGTCTTGTGTTACTCTCAAACCTTTTGGTGCTGATTGCGTTACCAATGCGTTGTGTCGTGTATATTTTCTCATTCATTTCTGCCGTATCATCGATTCACTCTCATTCCTATTCCTTCGAGGAATCTACAATATTTTCATTTCGTCACTTCTTTAATCCGATGCAACTGTGTTTACAGGGTAACTTAGTGGTAACGTATGATTTGGCGTCACACGACAATTCCATGAAACTTTCCTAGCAATTCTATCAACGATATGATTTAAAATCCCATGGAATCTTTCTTTCTGAATTTTCCGATCTAAGATTTCCAAAAATCTTACTTTCACAACTTCCGGAAAAATTTCTGGATTTCTTTCCTTCAGAAACTTTCCTAGCAATTTTATCAACGATATGATTTTAAAATCCCATGGAATCTTTCAGTCTTGAATCCTATCTTGAAATATCCAAAATTGTTACATTCAAATCATACGGGAACAAATTTTCTCGAAAATTTTTCTTTCGAAAACTTCATCAATGATCGTCTCAACAATTTCTGATTTTAAAATTCCATCAAATCTTTCCTTCACAACTTTCCGAATCTAAAATTTCCGAAAAAATCTTTCGGAAAACCTACAGAAACCAAACATTTCGGATGATTTCCGTCGAATATTTGAATGATTTTCAAATGTTCATCTCAGAAAATTCATTCACTAATTGGTTGATGAGCTCTTCATTTCCCGGAGTAAAGAAGTTTTGTGATCAATCAGCAAAGACTCATTGCTGAGATGCCCAACAAACTAGTAGAAACGACTAAAGTCGTATCTAATGAAAACATCTGTTATGAAGAAGTAAACGTACTGAGTTTCGCGTCTTCAGTGGCAGCAAAAAAAATCGCTCATTATCGTCAGTTTTGATCTCAACTTTGATGTCATTTGTTTATTCTTTTTTAAATTCCAGTTTCAACTGTGAGACTTTATTCGATAGAATTCTTGAATGAATTATGTTTGCATCGATTCAGTTATGCCTGGAATTGTGTTCTCTTGCTATAAAAGTCTTCTTCGAAACGAATCATTTGTTATGAAAGTATCGAAGTAATTTTTTAGATTTGATTGCATTTTATATTTTCACCGATTTTTTCTAGGTATTTATGCTCCATTTGGCTCTTGGGAACTCGTTATTTTAGGTTTCATCGCCTATTCTTTGTCGATTTAACGTAAATTTTAAAAGTATTTCGCTCTGCACCAATTACTTGTAAAAAGTCTTCGTCGAAACGAATCATTTCCGAAAAGCAACGAGTTTGGAGAAATCAAATTCACTGATAGATCTCTTGAAGTATGGTTTACATGTGTTTATGTGAATATAAATTTGAAATTGTTCATCGTAATTGTATCTTAAACATTAATGCTGTTCTTCTACGTAATACGAATTTATATGCACTTTATCACTTTCTTCATTAATTTCTTCTGATTGATTCATTTCTCCATTACTTGTTCATCCATTATTGAACATTGCTTAGTCGATTATTCATTTAGAATATTTGCGACTCTTCTTGCAAATCCAGCTATAGTTTCGACATCGGCTGTAACGTTTCATTTTTCAGTTGGATTTATCACTTTCGATTGTTTTATTGCGTGATAATTGAATAATATACATTGGTGAGGACTGAATGAATCAAAATGAACAAAACAGTTCGCGAATTTTCTTCTTCAAAATTACGCATATAAAAAAAGTATATCGCCTATACAAAAATTACGCATATACAAAGAATTTCTTCTTCAAAACATACAAAAAATTACGCATATATTAATTGGTGTTCTCATGACCAAATGTAACTTTTCAAAGCAACTTTAAGTCACATATCGATTCAATCTTCCGATGTAGCAGTGAGCATTTTTGCCGAGTTGGTTGCAGTATCATTTTTGCTTACTATTAGTAAGCTCTTATGAAAATTTCATCACCACTTTCAGTCAGAAAAACAATTTGAGAATCATTATTTATTGTTCTTGGGATCGGGAGTGGTTGACTGCTGTCGGAATTTCTCGCTGACCTTCTCTATTTACTGACTCGATTCACTCGTGATTGATATCTAAGCGTTGCTTCTCTTGATGAAAATGGATGTGCAATCAGGTACAAAAAATTTTAAAATGAGTCGAGAATTAGCGATACTCACTGATCGCATACTGCATCGATTACTTACTGATCAGATGCTCGACGGCTTCACTGACAGTCAAATTCTACAGGTTGTTGATGCGGTGAGTTCCTTCTTTGTGCTTTGTCCGGATTTTTTAAAGTATAAGTTGGCCTTAGTAGCGCGCTTTTCTTTTTAGGAAACCGCGTAGCGTTTTAGTCATATTTCGTTTAGCTGGTTCTGGCTAAGTGGTAATGAATGTGTGAGGTAATAGAATCGTTGCGAAATAATGAATGATTTCTATGGTATTCAAGCTGCACATTACAATGAATGCAAAATCACTCAGAGCGCTATCATTTTCAGACTTACGAAATACTGCGTCCGTTGGGTGCACTCATCGAAATGCGTGCACCATTAACGATATTCGGTGATGTACACGGACAATTTGGTGACCTACACAGATTACTGTCAATCGTTGGTACTCCGCCGAAAACAAGACTTTTATTTCTTGGCGATTATGTGGACCGATGCAAAAAAGGACTTGAGTTATGTACACACTCAAGTGCATATTTAGATGCTTCATTCAAATGCTTTACACGTGTACCTATTGAAAGCTACACAATGAGAATGTTTGTGATGCATATCATTGTCCGTTTTCATTTCAAAAATGCAAAGATGCTGCTCAAACTATAGCGATGTACTCAATTTGTCTCAGTTGTAGCCATCTGAATACCCCTAAAGAATGAGCTGAATTGATTGACATGGTACATCGCAAGGAATGAAGTGGTAAATCGATTATGATCAGTGAGGTCGTTAATAGACGACAATAACGTAACCTTTTAGGTGGTGATGCTGTTGTTTTGCTATAAACTCAGATTTCCCGATAAAATTGGTCTTCTGCGTGGTAATCACGAGTGCACAAAAATGAATCGAACCTATGGTTTCTACGAGGAATGTAAACGACTCAGATCGACAAGTGTTTGGAAGGCATTCCAGCGAGTCTTCAATGAACTACCGCTTTGTGCGAAGGTTATTAGACGCACATGGAATTTTGTGTTTTCATTTTGAAATATTTTGAGGATGAAGTAAAGAAATAAACCGCTGAGCTGTCACTGTAGTGCTATCAAGAAAGGATGTGAATTGATTGTCATATCTTAATACTTATCTTAGGTAAATGGTCGCATTCTTTGCATGCACGGTGGCATCAGTCCATTGATAAGCAGCTGGAGTTCCCTATCCACTCTTCAGGTAAATTTTATTCATTATCTCAGTCCTGTTGAGCGGTATTCGTTTTATCAACTACGTTCACATGATCAAACACCGTATGGTAAAGGGATTGGTGACACGTTTGAGAACATGTCCCAAAAGAATATCAGAAATTGCTTTCAATTTGCTATCAAGGTCCGAAAACATTAATATTGCAAAACTAAAATATTTTAGAAACCGAGAACACCAGAAGAATGCGATCAAGGCCTTGCTCTGGACTTAATGTGGTCGGATCCGGATAGCGACCCTTGCTCTAAAGGATGGGTTCCGAATAAGGTTGTTCATTTAGCGTTTGACATTTTCTTTGAGACATTTTCTCCAAGAATGATTTCAATCTAACGCTTTTCCGAGCGCATGAAGAGTTCTTGGAAAACCTTCTTATGTTTTTCGCTGGGGAGCGGAGCCCTCTTTTCTTGTAACCTTCAATTAATTGCGGCATTCGGTGAGCGATCATTTTTAAGGTACGGAATGCGTCGTGGATGTTTGGCCAAGACACGATAAAAGAATGCATTAAAAATTTGGATATTGACCTGATTGTGAGAGCACATGAAGTGGTCAAGGTGAGGTATATCTCATGATTTATCCTGACGAATGAGATGCAATTCAAGATGACGATTGTAAAATAACATCCGAATTACGCAGGTTTTTTATTTATACTGATCGGGTAAGTGAGACCAACTGAGTTTTATTACTGCAGGACGGTCATCTAATGGATTGTGGAAATCGAATTTGTACGATATTTTCGGCACCTAACTACTGTGGTACTGATGGGAACTGCGGCTCGGTAATGCAAATCACCGCAGAGCTGAAAATTTCATTTGTTACCCTGAAACCAAAACTCGACGTGCAGAATTTGAGTGCTGAAAAACTGGCGGAACTTGAAAAACAAAACAAGAAAAACGAAGTAAAGAGTCCAAATCCTGGTAATGCGTGCCATTCAATTGATACATTTTTGTAGGAATTATTTTCTTAGATGTGATGCAATTTAATTGTTTTCTAATTTCATGAACCTTTTGTGTTTTTAGGTACAAATCTCTTACCTCCAGCGACAATTCCAGTAAAGAATGCAGCGAGTGGATAAGCGATTAACAAATCGTCTTAAGAATGCAAAATTGCGTCGTAAACCTTGCGATTCATCATCTACGACCTGAGGCGGTTGTCGTACCCTTCATGTATGATCGTAACAAAAAGAGGTGCACAGGAAAGTATGACCTCTCAGAATAATCAGTCTACCAACTGTACATGAACCAGCAGAACCTTCAACAGCCTATTTAAGCATTCGGCAATGTAATCGACTTCCGATTTAAATGCTGCATTTTGGCCCCCCTTCCGGCGCTGTGAAGTTCAGTTTATTGCATCGAACTCCTCTTTGATATACAACTGATGATCACATGTCTCCAAGTTCAGTATCAATAAAACATGAGAATATTTTATTTCGAAAACGAATCAGATAAGAATTTCTCGAGTCTTTGTGGAGATGATGTGTTAAAATGATATATATTTATTCACAAAATTGTTGTATTATGAGATTATATTGAATGAAATGCGTTGAATTAAAATTGTAATGCTATTAATTTTAAAAGAAATAACGACATTTTCGCGATTATTTGTTCGAAAAAATAAAATCGCATTTAACACAAAGCTATTAAAACGTTTGACAGAGGTGTTTTTGAAAGCGTCGCAATCGTAAAATTTCTATTGCTACTGCGATATGTCGCATAAATTCAGCGCTTTTCTTTGTTAATTTCTTGAATAATTTCGATTTTCATTTCTGAACAAACTTCAAAACGAACACAATGGTGAATTGTTGGATGGATTCTGCTGAGATTCCGAATGAAAGCAGTCTTGTGAGAGTGTCCACATAAAACTGGAATATTACCTTACCGTAACCTTATTAATCCATTTGCAATCAACATGACTTATCCGCATTCAAAATTTGGTCACTGTTACTTCATCTGTTGTTGGCTCAGAAACAACAGATAACTTTTAATCATCCATAGAATTTTACTAGGTATAATTAAAGCTTATCACAGTCCAATAGTTCTATAGTCATGTAGGATAGTTGCTGAAGTTTGCTCGTAAAATTCGATCGGAACTTCAAATCAGTCTCTGTTAACTACCGAACTGACAATCCAAGAGGAAAATATGCTTCGATGTAGCTTATTATGCCATGATTTTGAAACTTTGAACAGCCAATGTTGAAGACCGTTTCGTTAATGGTACTGTTCTGTGTGATGTTATTTCAATGAAACGAACTTCGAAAATGCTGTTTGAGATTGGTTTAAGTTAAGACTTACTTCCTGATAATCTGTAAAGATATCTGCTACGTCATTATTGTTGGAACAAATCACACTCGGTCCGAAAAACTTCGCTGTCGGTTTTTGGAGCGTTCGTCTTCCCAACAATCCAGACGGCACCAGTTCACATCACAATATGAAAAGCGTGCCCGACGTGAAACACTTTCAATTTGAAAATAATAACGTATGCGCTAGATTCACGACCTGCGTTGCGTTGTATCACTTGTTAATTCCTTACTCATTAGCACTGTTAAATGCCATCACATTTTGTTGGCTTCTACAAACCCCGTCGAGGATTGTTATTGACGCTAAAATACGTTAAGCATTCGGACAGAGATTTATTTAGCTGAATGACTCTCAATGAATTCTCTCAATCAGTATTCAACTGGCAAAGTGCAAGCTTTACCGAAGTGTTCTTTTGCGTATTTTTCCTTTAGCGAAATTGCTTTACATTTCACGGTAAACCAATTGTTCGCAACTTGATTCCAACTCAAATGCTACTCTCATTCAGTATTTTCGAGCAGATCGCTTCGTCGTTCCACACTTCCTTAATACTCATCAATTCCAACTGCATTTCGAAATTTTTCGATATTACATTAGCTAGTAAAAATCATTTTCTCAAACAGTGGGAGCTCGGTAAAGCGGAATTTAGAACATACGGACCGTCATCCTTATATGCATGCGCCGAAAGGTTTGTTGGTAGTGACCCAAGGGTTGAATGAAATCTTGAGAAAGACACATAATAGGTGGATTTCCGCAACTGCAGAATGCAAGAATGCTGGTTGATCATTCAATATGCACACATTAATTCAATTTTATGCATTCTATTATTTAAGCGCTAATCACTCTCACACCTGCAGCGAAAATTGACAGTCAACTCATTGTTGGTTAACACTTCAATGATTGTCTTCCGACAGTTCATTGTTTCGTTTCAGAATGCATTGCCAACTGCGCATTGCGTTTTACCTAGTTGATTTCTTAGACGAAAAGGAAGTAATAAATTAAAAATGATATGGATGTCACATGTTTCGAAATAACAAATCGTCGAATATCGAATGTCATGGAGGCATGAAGCAGTGGTGATGTTTAGAAATGTAGTGAACGTTTTCAGCTAAATAATTCAAACTGATTCAAACATCCATTGAAAAGTGATCTTTCGTTGAAGCTAGCAACAAAAGACTCCCTCTTAATCCATTTAATTCATTCAATGAGAAACGAGACATCCACTCGTTTTCAATAAAACGAATGGATATCTCGTTTCTCATTGAATGAATTAAATGGATTATTAAATGAATCGAAAGCATTATTTTCAAATTCGACCACAATTTTTGCTCAGCTTGAACGATTATATAATTCGATATTCTATCGAGTGTACGTAGTGAACATTCGTCGGTGCTGAAGAGTGTTTGTTGGTGCGCTTCATAAAGAATATTGATATATACCAAACATTAATTAATATTAATAATACTGTCGAAACAATGAGGTGACCACAGTGAAAGTCATCAAAATTTGAGAAAATCTGATGCTTAAATGGACTGAATTAAACTTATCAGGTATTTAACTCTTCTTAGATGAATTAATGCACCGTCCATGATCCTCATTATCTGCAGACCGGAATCGTCAACTATGCATCACTTCTGTTTGCACCGCCACTTTTTCTCATTAAATTTTTCAGCATTCGTGGAAATACCAGTTAGTGCAATGTGAATGCATGACAACATTTCTGGATTTATTTATTCCACTTTATTGATGCAGTACACGAGTCATTATGGTTTAATTGATATCGTTTTGTTCACGTATTGAATGCGTTTCATTCTTACAATTAGCATGAAATCATGACTTGAAAATGTGCAATGAATGAATAACTTGAAAAGCTCAACTTTAGAATGTGATTGTTTGCTGGTGAACTGATAAAAAAAATAATGTGGCATTATTTAATTTCGTTTATCTTTGTGCATAAACGACCATATTTATGTGTGTGTATACTTGGGATCGAGTCAGTATATATTATAAAAACGACATATGACAATAAAATTCAGTCACAATTGCTTTCTGTGAATAAGTGCATTTGATGAAATGTTGAAAATGGCATCTATTCTATAAAATCCTTTCAATTCAATTGATCACAAACAACAATGAACCTTTCTCAAGCAAATTGCTTTATTCTTTTGTGTTATACCGTCACAATAACCATTAACCACATCCACAATATCCAAACAAAATATCATGATGACATTTATTGCTAATTTACACCTAATAATTCACGTGTGGGTAGTTCTATTCGAACAGTTTGTTTTAGCTGCGTTTTGCGACGAATCCAGAAGGGATTGAGGTATGAGCCTGAAATGCGGACAAGTGAGCCTCGTATTGTTTTAACTGGTAGGAAAACGCAATAGGAAGATGCTTCAAACATAGAGATATCCATTCACGTCGCCTCTAAGGATTTTAAGATGTTCAATTTTTCACCCGAAGCGGAGACTGGAGGAAGTTTGGCTGCTCAAAAACTCCCATATTGAAACTTTGAATGCCCCGCTGATTGCACTGACAAAATCACACGACTACGCTCTGGAAGCACTCATGATGTGTCGTTGTTCATTTTACGAAAACTGAACTGTAATATCCATGTGGTTTTTTCTCGATNGTGAACACTAAAGATTCATTTTAAACAAGCACCACAAAGCGAATGGAGTGAGTAATAGACCACTTGCAGAAATGGGGTGTATTCGAAGCCCTGAGAGGCAGCTCGTTGATTTCAGGTGATGAGGTGGGTGCTCATTAGCGTTCGCACATATAGTTCATGTGGCATGCACACATACGTTCATCAAAGGTGTGTGTATATTGTTTTGTTGTTGGTTAAATTGTCGATGCGATAGGTAATTTACGATGTAATTAAGAATGCTGCTATTAATTAGTGCTTTATTCATACGTTGCTAATCGTTTCTCGGCTTATTCTCGTGTATTGTTCTCCAATGTACGTATTCGTTGCAGTTCATTTGATAAGCAACGCCTTTTAAGCGTTATGCTCCCAATAACAAGAATAATAATGAATCATAATTATTATAACGTAATATCCCCTACTTCTTATTTGTTATACCAGCAACTGAGGTGTCCACGAATAAACACTATGAAATTACACTGTGCAGTTTCCATCTTCGCTTAGAGTTCATTTTCGGCTTATTTTTGGATGTAGTATTATTAGGCTCATACATTTACATGTAAAGTACGATTTTCCGGCAGGAAACAAAACAGATGCGGCAAAAATCAGAATTCAATATAATGAGGGATTACATTTGGGTTTAGGCCCAAGCCGACGTCCATACCGAGGAGCCATCAATGGGTTTAATAGATACCTCATCGCGATATGATAGAACTCTCTGTTTGTTTACTAGATAACTCAGTACTGGAATGAGCCTCAGCCTAATCATAGGTCCAAATGTAACCCCCGGCGATATAGAGCTGCTTATCGTCATTTATGAAACACTCATTCTATTTATGCTTTAAAAAANCTTTACAATTTCCATAAAATGTCTTTCGTGAAGGGATATTCTCATGAAGCAAGTTATTTCAACTAAACTTTACTTCGTCAGCGAACTCCTTATGGAGCTCCAGAGATTAATATTTTGGTTGAAGATATAGCGAAGGTATCGAATATTTATTGGAAAGATTGCTAGAACATTATTTTCCTCTTGTTTGGTTCAAGTTCTTAGGTTCGCATTCATCCGGCATAAACGATGCGATACGACCTTATGTTTAGTCAGAGTATATTGCACGAAAAAATTGCGTG